TAGATACTTTCGCACAGTTTCTTACAAAAAAAAGGTATATTTATCCTGTTAGTCGGAGTGAGTCTCCATAGAGTACACTGTAAAAACTGTATGCCTGGCAGTAAGTTTTGGCGCTTTAATTCTGAATTAGTTTGAACTTGAAACGCAGCGCGTCGACTTTCAAGACTTGAATTAACTAATTGTTTTACTTAAATAATCATAATTAGTGGACAAATTAATGAAATTCGCAAAATCATTGTCGGCTTGTAATTAGTTACATATATATATATATATATAGGGTTATCTGTCGGTAAAAATATTACACAATTTAATTATGCTATGGACGTTTTACAAAATGAATTAACTTAGGCATTGTTTAATAATTAGTACATACATACATACAAAAAGCATCAATTCAATTATTCATTTTATTATTTTCGTGTGGTATTTAGTTTTAGTTTTTCGTTTTAAGCTGCTCTTGAACAAAGTTTATATTATGCTTAAAAAGTTTATGTCTTTCTTCTCCGCTTTATACTCCCTTTTTTTTTAATTCTCAATTTTTTGCTTTGTACAGGCGCATTTTACCTAAAGATTTCAATTCTCAAAATGAACAGTGCTCGAAATTTCAATTTCTTAATTTCATCTCTCTCACTCTCTCTCTCTCTCTCTCTCTCTCTCTCTCTCTCTCTCTCTATGCCTCCCTCTCAACTGTGAACACATATCTTGTTGTAAATGTACAAAAAATTGCATAAATAGTTTTGATTGATTGACCAAGAGAAAAAACACAAAAACACTTGGCATAACTACACAGTGCGTAATTTGCATTCAGTTTTGCTTTTTCTATATATCATTTAAATGCAGCAAGCAATATGGAGCAAGCAATATTGATATTGCTCACTTTTAAGACTTACATATCAAAATTGCGGCTTTTAAGTTTATTTCTTAGTTTTGGTTTCATGAACTATTATATATATTAGAACATTAAGGACCAGATCGCAATTTCTTTGTGTCAGTTTTCCAAATGTAATGAAAATTGTATTCCAAGTGATATTCAGACACATTACAATTTGTATGGATCATTTGATTTATTACTTATTTATAGTCAGAGTAAAAGTAAGCTAAAGATTACGGTTTCGAAAAGAGAAACAGTTTCAAAGTCCTAATCTTTAAAGTGGCAGCAAGATTTCGATTACATATTCATGAATTATGACTTGAGTTTACAAGAGTTTAGCCTCACATTGTTTTCGTACAAAATTAATTATAATAATAATCAACTTTTACTAACTGTCTAGGTTTATTGTTTTTACATATTTAGAACCGATTCATATGCAATTACGATTGGTCTTCATATTATTTTAAAGTCGTCGCCTCGTTGTGAGTCCGTAATTTCAGTTCTGTTTTAAGAAACTAAATATTATCAGAGCCTGTGTTTGACATATTATTCACTGATTCTTGCAATTTTAACACTGTGTAACTATTCAAGTGAGCCGTGGTGTATGTGTGTGTACGATTCCCGTGAAGCGCTCATTTTGCAAAATATTTGCCCTGTTCAAAATTCATAAGATATTTTTTGTTTTGAAGCGAAATTGAAGACATCTGGCCACACTTAATTAGCTGCAAATGCAATGCTGGGCCCACTATTTCGAAAAATCTGACTTTTTCAAGGGCTATGCATACGACTACGAATACACTATAAAAGCTGTACTATTATATTATTACTTTTAGTTTTTCAATGTGCAAGACCAAAAAAAAATTACATACACCAAAAAAAAAAGAAGATGCACACACAGAAAGACACAAATTTTAACTTGCAACGATTTCATTACAATATTATTTTCTCATTTTTTTGTTGGGTTTTCGTTTTTTTCTCAATTGAGTTTGTTTTGATTTGCTTGTAACATAAGTGTAATAGGCGCATTCCAACGACAATTTTGATCAATCATGATTGATCACGAGTTCACGCTGCTTGCAATACATAAATACATATATTTGCGGAACAATAAACACAAATGTATCTTACAAATTTACTTCTGCTTTTTTTTAGATGCAAAAATATAATTTTTATCAAAATGTTCTGCTCAATGCGCCCAATTTCCAGATTTGTTTTTTATACATCGAAAAAGATATAATTTACATTTTTAAGCAAAATAAGCAAATTAAATGCGTTTTCTTTTCTTTTTTTTTTTTTAATTTAAATTTCGTAAATCGTTTTTTTTTTCTTTCTTTTTTTTGCAGACACTTAAAGCAGTTTACTTTTTGTTCATTTACACACGCACGCACACACACACACACACACGCACGCACACACACGAAATTAGTTAATAAACTTGGGCGTAGTTTTTGAATGCACGAGCTGAAATCAATTTTTGGGGCCAGCTGCCACGCCTCTTAGACGTAGGTGGCAACGGCAGCTGTGCTCGTCGTGGCAGCGCCGCCGCCGCCAGCGCTGCTGCTGGCAGCGCCAGCTGCATTGGCTCCTCCAGCATTGACTCCAACGGGCTGCGGCTGCTGATGCGCTGCGGCGGAGTTGTTCAGCGGCTGTGGGCTGACCGGCGGCTGCAGCTTGCCAGGCACATACTGCCCAATGAAGGAGCCGTCCTCAGTGAACTGACCTGTGAATGGGGAATGGAAGAAACGGTTAAGACTTTAGGCCAGCCACATGGGTGCACATATTAATATCTATGTTATATGCGTGAGTGTGTTAGCCATCACCAACACCAGTTTGTGTGCGAGTTTCGAGTTGGTTAGTTGCGTTAGACGCGATTCAGTTTTGGTAATATATGTATAAAGTATTATTTGTAGTTCTTGTTATTGGACATTTGTGGCATGTTCATGATTCAGTTTGATTAGTCGTGTTTGGATCGTTTGATGTTTGGGCTTGTCTTGAATATGCATGTTTAAAGCGCCAAGCTACGACTACAGGGTATCTAGACTACAATACACAAGCTGCATGCTTAATTAACATTACCTTGTGTTATACACGTACAAACTAAAGTTGGATTTCGCAGGGTTTCACAGCTAAAAACAAGGTTCTTAATGCCAAATAATCATTGTAACTCAATAATAATATATAATCGGAAAAAGTCTTAAAGATAAAAGAGACACGGCTACAAAATAAATAATTTGGCTTAGGTTTTCATAGAGCCAAAGATATTGAAGTCCGATGCTGATGAGCTATTGCTCGGGTATATAGGTTAGAGTAAACAAAATCAAATGGGTTCGGATATGTATTCTTCTATGCGCTACACATACCACTGCCAGGGTGTAACAAAAAATGCACTTACAAAAACTATGCAACATATTTTAGGAAACATTTCAAGATGTTTTGCTGGTATATTTCTAAAAATTATACAGGCTAAGTATTTCATGCTTCAAATAATAAATTAAAAAAGGTTTTGATATCTTTTGAAAGATAATATAAAAATCGAACTCTAACTATATATATATATATAGATGAAAGTATTGATGTTGATAACTACTTGAAAAATGTTGATCAACTTAAGAGCCGGAATAGCCCGGTTAAGTCTCCCTCTCTCCCTTATAGATTAAGAAGTGTATACTGTTTACCTAGTTTCAAATCGTGACCATAGTGTGTTTTTATTATATAACATTAAAGCTTGTATCTAGCTAGGCTCATGTGTCTAAAGATCTTGGAAATTTGTAAGCAAAATGTTCACTTTTTTAAGTCAGAGCGTAAACCGAAATTATACACTGTTCAAAATTGGACTCAACGTGTTTTTAGTTATCACTTGAAACGTGATCTTATAGGAATTAAGAGTATACATCAAATAAAACAAAAGTTTCTGAATCGTATTCGAATTTCGAAACTATTTTCTAACTTCCTTTTTGCCTGTGTCAATATTGAAATGTGTTTGCTGGAAAACAAAAATGATGTTACTTAAATTTACACTTTAGATTTTATTGTTTACTTTTTCTTTATTTCGTTTGTTGGTTTTTCTTTCTAATAAAGTAATATAAAAATGCAATATTTTTATATAGTTGTTTTGTTTGTTTAATATTAAATAGATCTACTACACACAAAAAAAAAAAACATAATATGTATTTTTCTCAATTTGTTTTTTAGTTTTTCTTTTTATGCAGAAAACAAACCGTTTACAAAGTACAGTTTACAACATTTCATTAAATGTAACTGTCCAAGCGAATTGATAAAAAAATGATGTATATATAAGAAATAATAAAATAAAACATATTTCATTAAAATACATAGTACACAAAATTAAAATTATGAAACAAAACTAAAGAGGATTGGAAAAGAAATTAAATAAAATACACACGTACGCAAATTTTTTCAAGAAGGGAGCTAAAAACAGAAAATGTACATTACGTTTTTTAAACAAAATTTTAAATTAAGACTTATTTATATATACATATATATATGTATATGTATATGCATTACATATTAAACAAGGTGAGGACAGATTTTCAGTGTAGGAGAGAGCGGTACAGTTAGAGAGCAAGCGTGTCTGTGCGTGTGTGTGTGTGTGTGTATAAGAGAAACAGAAAGAGAGCAGCTGCTTTATTCGAAGGTGGAAGGGAGAAGCGGCGGAGGTGGGGCGAGGGCTGGGCTTGGAGTTAAGCATTCTTGTTTCTGATTTGTCTGCGTTCTCTCTGCCCCTGCCACTCTCCCCGCGGGGTGATCCTTGATTAAGCCAAGGCGCCAGAATATTTTTTTTGTTGCTTTTTCTTTTTGTTTTGTTTTAATAGCCTTTTTGCTGCATCGTTGTTGTTCTTTGTTCTTTTTCTCGTTTTTGCTTGGCAGTATAATTTTTCTTTTTTGTTTTTTTTTTTTTTAGTTTAGTTCTAGTTTTAGTTACTTTATAAAAAATATTCGCTTTCATATTGAAAATGAAATCGTCGCACTAAAAATTAACTTAAAAAAAAACTTTGATTTTCATTTAGAATTTTGGGCGCTGTTGATGTAATTGTTGTTGTGGATGTTTGTTGTTGTTGTTGTTGTTGTTGTGGAGGGGCTCGGTTCGGTTTATTTGTTGCTGCTGTGGAAGCCGCGCTGCTTACAAATTAAATCAAAGTCCTTTGCGTCCATATTGACCAATAAAGGAACCATCTTCGTTCATGCCTGCATTTCGTCATTTTTATAGTACAGCGTTTTATTTTATATTATTTATTATTATTTTTATTTATTTATTTATTTTGTTTTTTATTGAGGTGTTGTTTTTATTTGTTGTTGTAGGTGTCATGTGTTGTTTTACGGAGTAAACACAAAAAAAAAAAAAAACAAATTGAAGAAAAGAAAAAAAATAGAAAAATAAGTAAATTAAATGTTGTGCAAAACGAATAAAACACAAATTAAAGGAACGAAACACAAGTAAATAACAAAACGCAAAACATTAAGCAATTATTGATGAACAGGGCCCATTGGATAAATACACATACATGTATGTATACAAAGGTAAGCACATACATATACAGATATGTATTAACATAGGATCATCCACTTGCTCCGCAAAGTGTCACAAGCCAAATCGATATTGGGTCCATGTCTCTGAATGAGTCTAATTTTAAGAACTAATTATCGAGCGATGCGAATAAAAAGCAAATCAACAAAATCAAGCCAGCAAATGTTCTACCTATTTGATAAAAAGAAACGTGGCGTTGCCAGACTTCGTTCATAGCCCAGTTAAGTTGGCTGCACTAATTCAAGACATTTCCCAAATGCTTTGAACTATTTGAATTATTTGTAAATTCTTACAAAAATGTCCATAAGAATAGCTCATTGCTGTTTGGCAAATATATATAAGAAGGAACTAAGACGGTTCAATTGGTTTTTATACGTTGAATTGATGCAGTCTATAAATTTGAATAGCAATATAAAGGTATATCCATACCAAATAAAGATTTTTATTACTATTAACTTTTTGTATAGATAGCTTTGATCAATCAAATCAAATTGGAATCAGTAATATTTGCAATCAGTAGCTAAGGTCCTGCATAACGAAAATTTGTTAAATATTGGAATATTAATATATTTGTAAGCTATTCTTATATTTGATTGTGTGACTATATTTTCAATATATAACTTTTCCGTTTCCATTATTCCGTTATTTCCAGACTCCGAATTAATCAGACAAATTTCTATAATAAAACAAGTAAGAGGTTCTAGTCGGGGGCTCCCAACTAGGGGATACCCTGAACTCTCTTCTTCCAACATCAAATGCATATATATATTCTATTTGCGAAGCTATATGTCAAGTTTGGTGACTCTAGCTCTTATTATTTACCAAAATTGCCCAAAAAACAGGATATCGATATCGATTTTTATCGATTGCTTGGAAACGGAGTAACTTATTGATTATCGGAAACAAATTCGATTTGCGCGGGCACTAGGAGCACCTACATCTAAAATTTCAGTCTCTAGCTCTTATAGTTTCTGAGATCCTTGCGTTCATACATACGGACGGACGGACGGACGGACAGACAGACGGACATGGCTAGATCGACTCGGCTTTAGATGCTGATCAAGAATATATATACTTTATGGGGTCGGAGATGCTTCCTTCTGCCTTTTACATACATTTGGTTTTTGCACAAATACAATATACCCTTATACCCATACCCTTTAATGGGGTCAGGGTATAACAAGGGAATCTTGAAAATGAGTTATCAAATCGACTACAACATTCTTCATGCCAAGTTCTCAAATCAAAACTATTGGCAAGTAATTATCTATTATTTTTATTTGCCGCTTGGCTCGACGAGCTTTGAATGGATGATCCTAGCTCACATGCTGGTTAGGCATATGTATATAATATATATATATACATATATATATTCACAGTCTGCAGCACCGATGCCAGTTAGTCGTAACAACTTAGAGAGCATAGAGAGAGAGAGAGAGCGAGAGAGAGAGACATAGAGCGAGAGGAGGACGCGTGCAAGAAGGGTGACAAAACGATTAAGCGAAGCGCGACGCAAGAAGCCAGCCAAAAATATATTTATATATTTTTATTTGGCTGCAAAAAACAGCCAACAGCCAAAAAATGCAGAAATGCATAAATAAAATGCCGGGCAAATTGGCTACCTGAACGAAATGGTTGAAGAAAGATGAAGCCAACGCCGCCACCGTCGCCGCCCACAGTTAGAGTTATATGCTGTGTGTGCGTCTGTGTGTGTGTGTGTGTGTTTGTGCAAAAACATAAATAATCGAAAGATGATTGTGAGACTAGGCTGAGTGAATTTGTTGGCTCATGGCTTTGTCGTAGGGCGGCGGCGATGACTGCAAGTGAGGCTGGGGCAAGGTCGATGGCTGCTTGATGCCCACCTTGCGCGCAGCGGTGGCAGCATGACCGGCGGCTGTGGTCACAGCTGTAAACAGCACCAGCATCAGTGCCAACATCATCATCATCATCATCATCACCATGATCATCATCATCAAAAACAAAAAAGGTTGACAAAAACAAATGAAAATTTGTAATAAAATAAATTTAGAAGAAAAAGAAAGATAAAAACAAACAAACAATGACATGGACTGGGACACTTGGAACACTTAGGATGAACTGGAGTTAATTGTCGCTCTTACCTGTATCGCCATCGCCGTATTCGGCCATCGAGTCGGTATCGCTCTCCACGCCGGGCTTATTCGCTGAACTAACGGATTGGCGACCAGCGCTCTTGTTATCCAAACTGTAAAAGCAAAAGCAAACGCGTTATCGATACATTCACACACATACGGGCAGCAATTTATCGACAACGATATCTGGAGTTATGCTTACGGTTGCGAGTACTCGTGAAAACCGCCCTCATCCGGATAATCGCGCCTGCCATTGGCCAGCTCGCGATCGTGCACATCATATTTGCCACCACGATTGCGACGTATAATGCAAATGATGATAAACAGGATAATGATGATGGCCAGAGCCAACATCATGCCAATGAACCAGCCGGCATTCGCCAGAGTCTCGTTGCGCACCATTATGGGTCCCTCGGCGCTGTTCGTGTCAATCTCGTGTGTGGCGCTCTCCGTGTGATAATGTCCATCGACGGACACAACGCGGAACTCGTAAACTGTATCCGGATCGAGGCTGCCCACCTCCTGATAGTCGACTGATTTCTCGGGTTCTTTGCTAGTCCATTCCGTTTCGCCCTTGATTCTGTTGAAAATTAATTATTTAGTATTTGGTTTTAGCTTGAATGTACTGCGCTTTAAAGCATATGCAGGCAACGGAACTAGTTCCGCGCATCATTCGCCTATTTAGCTGAACAATTACTATATACATTGGAAAATATGTTTCATTAAATTTCTATTTGATGAGGGTCTAAAAACACAATTGTTCTTTTATTTATTAAATCAAGTGCAACATTTTCAACATTAGCGACAAGGGAATATATGTTGAACTAGTTCAAAAAAATTCCGCACATATGAGTGAATATTATTTATAGTTTAAATAGGGAACATACGAATTTCATTGAACACACTCAAGTTAGAAACTAGTTGATCTAGGTATTGAAATAATTTAATCTAACTACACCCTTGTTTTAATTCAAGACTTGTTTTGATAACGGAACCAGTTCGAATTTGCTCGCACAACATTATATTGAACTAGTTACCTAATTCACATCCTGTACTTACCTGTACTTGGTGAAGAAGTGTGAGCCCGAACGGCCATCAGTGCTGGGCACCCAATTTATACGGTAGGTAGGCTGACCATTCGGCGACTGGATCGCCTCCCAAGTTAGGGATGGTGTGGATGGCGGCTCAACATCTTCACCCAGCGTGGTCTTCTCGATGTAATGCCTGGAATCAGGAGAAGCACATTAGATAAACGGTACAAAGAAAAGTCAGAAGAAGAACGAGAGGAATGTCTTACTCGGTGCCTTCGCCCATTTTGGTTGTGGCTGTGATGGAGATGCGATACTTGGTCTTCGGTTTCAGACCGGCCATTTTCATGCGTGTGATGCGAGGATCGGTGATATGGGGTTCATATTCGCGTCGTTCGCCCACATAGCTGCCCTTGACCACCTCATAGTAGATTTTGTAGCCAGTCAGCTTGCCATTGGGATTGAGCGGCTTCTTCCAGGTTAGCCAGAAAGCTGATGAGCCTAGCGGATAAGCCTCCAGAGATTGCACTGATGACGGCACACCCTCGGGCGTGTCAAAGTCAATCACAGCGCTGGGCGGTCCATTGAAGCGTCCATTGTAAGCCAGGACGCGGGCATAGTTCTTGGAGTCGGGCTTGAATTGTGTGACGAGCGCCCCGTTCTGGATTGTGTGTATTTCACGCAGTCCCTCTTCGCCCTCCTTGTCCGTCCAGGTTTGGATCTTGTAGCCCTTGAAATGACCGCGCACCGATTCCGGGCTAACTGGATTCCAGCCGACATAGGCATGGGTTGCACTGGTTACTTGCTGCATGCTAAAGTTAGTGGGTGCCTCGAGGGGACGGTCCTCGCCAGAGTAGCCGATCACCTCCTCGGCGTCAACATTCGATTCGCCGCGCTCATTGATAGCCACCACTTTGATGTGATATTTGACGAATGTCGGCTGATCGGGAATCAGGAGATTGTTCTGGCGCCAATCATAGATGTCCTTGTTCTCCCAGGTCGCAGCGGGTATGTCACGCTTCCAGCTGACACGATATTGGAAGTTCGGAGCATTATGTTCGATCTCCGGCATCGGTGTCCATGTGATGACCAAATTAGTTGGCTCTGTGCCCTGGCCGACAACGTTGTCCGGATTCTTGTATGGCACATCCGGCTGTGTGGTGCACGCCTCGCTATGTCCCGACGGCGGCGATGGGCCGATCTTATTGAAGGCAATCACACGGTACGTATAGTTGGCCCATGGCGACATTTGCAGTACAAATGAGAAGTCAGTGCTGGGCACCTTCTCGTATGCCGTATCCCAGGAGGCGGGCGTGAACGATGTGTTGAACTGGATCGTGTAGTGTAGAATGGGCGAGCGATTATCACCTTGCGGCTCCCAGGAGATCTTTGCCTTATCGGCTTGGCATATGATGCCTATCAAACGGGGCGCATTCGGCACATCCTGCACTATAAGATTCGCCTTGGCCGTGGCCTCGTCCAGTTGAGTGCGCGCAACGCACGTGTATTCGCCCGAATCCAGCTCCATGGTCTTGGCAATTGTCAGTGAATTGTCGTTGGTCTTCACAAATCGTGCCTCTGCATCAAAATCAATCGGTTGACCATCCTTCAGCCATTCGATCTCCAGGTCCAAGGTGTCGTCGTGCGCTTCGTTGCAACGGAATGTGGCCGATTGGCCGGCGGCGACCTCATAGTTTTGCGGCTCCTGTGTAATCCTGGTGCGCTCCTTTACCACCAATGAACCATCGGCCGTCGCATTGCCAAACTTGTTGACCGCCAAGCAGGTGTAATTGCCATTGTCAGCGAAGGTCACCTCCTGTATCTCCAGATCGCCCGATGGCAGCACATTGTAACGACCACCGGTCAGCCAGTTATTATTGTGGCGCCATTTCACCTGGGGCTTGGGTGCACCAAAGACGCGACAACGCATTGTGATGTTGCGTCCGTTGACGGTGGCCTCGGCACGTGGTGGCTCCTGGATCTCTGGGGGCAGTGCGAGCACATTGAGGTACACATCCTTGTAGACATAGCCAAGGGAATTCGTGGCGTTGCAGCCATAATTGCCCGTGTCCTTCTTCACCAGATTCACGATCTTAATGTAGTTGTTGGTAACGGTGCGTCGAGGATTTGGTTCGCTTTGCGCAATCGGCTTGCCATTGTGTATCCATTGAATGGTCGGCTCCGGATGTCCGGCGGCCTTACAATTGAATATGACCTCCTCATCCTCGGCGGCATTTTGTATCTCTGGCTCCTCGGTGAAGTAGGGTATGGCATGAATTTTCAAATTGATCGAATAGGATTGCGCCTGGTCCACACCATTGGACACGTCACAGTTGTAGGTGCCCTCATCGTCGAAATTGGCCTGCCTTATAACCAGAGATTTACCATAATTGCCTTGGGTAATGCGATCGTTCCATTCCACCCGTTTTCCATCCTTGTACCAGACGGTTTGCGGCAACGGTGTGCCGCCATAGATGCAAAACAGTTCGACACGTTTGCCGCGCAGCGCCACCTCGTTCTTGCGGGTCACATACTGACGCTTGGGCGGATAACGATTCTGGGATGCACTCACGCCCATCTGCTTGACGTCCAACAGTATCTTATTGCCGATCTTGTACTCGTTGCGGAACACCGACGTTGCCGAGCAGGCATACCAGAAATCGCCGCTGGCATCATCGCGTGTCACATTGGAGAACCAGAGTGTGCCCTCCGGGTCGAGGGTCATGCGTGAATTGTTGATCGACTTAATGCCCGCATCGATGGTCTGCTGTATCAGCCAGTTGACAGTGGGCTTTGGCCAGCCATCGGGCGCCTCGCACTGCAGCGAGAATGGTTCACCCTCGACGGCCTCAACGCTGCGGGCTGCCTCGTCCTTGAAAGCATTCAGCTCCGCCTTTCGCACAAACACCGAATTCGATGTGGCAACGCCAAACTCATTGGAGGCAAAGCACTGATACTGTCCCAGATCCTCATCTTTGGGTGATGTGATCACCAGTGTGCCACGTCCTGGCTGGCGCAGCATACGATTGTCGTACGCCTGCCAGTCAAACTTCTTGCCGTTCTTGATCCATCTATATCTGTAAATAGATACAGCAAATGCAAATTCTATGAGTCAAAAAACTAGATTACGTTTGGGTATATTTTATATATTTAAAGACAAGGCAGATCGTGTCGGACGTGCCCGACTAGCAGATAAGCTGAACCCAGCCCAAATGGGATAAACGTGATAAGCGAAAGATCAAGAGTATATCTTCAGGGAAAGTATCGATAAGGTTAAATATTCGCGATCTGAGTTTATGACGTCTGCAGCTCTTATAGGCTCCGAGAAAAGAATGACAAATATAGATTTCGAAATCGATTCTTATCAATTGCGTTATCGTTGCGTGGACACTAGGAGGATCTATGCTTAAAATTTTACTAGCTCTTTTAATCCCGTAGATCGAAGCGTTCCTCGATACGGATGGACCGCCGGACAGACATGGGTAGATCGCCTCGACAAGAATATATATTCTTTATGACGTGGAAAGTGTCTTCTAATGGCTCTAACATACATTTGCACAGAACTATTTTAACCTTTTTACTCATTATCAATGGGTTCAAGGTATAACTAGAGCATGCCCAAGTACTTATTTAAGCAGCGACATTTTCATGACATGACAATTACCCACTTTATCTAGTCAAAATGCAATGTGTACCGTACCGCATTAATAAGGTCTTCGTAATGCCCATCCATTATAGAATATAAATATATATGTATATTCAAAGAAGTAATAAGGACGAGTCCATATTGCTTTTATATAATACGATTATATACGAATGTTCCTATTAAAGCCATATGATATAGTAGAGGAGCTTTGCCATGCATAAGACTTTTAGTTGAATTTAATTATGTTATTATAGCTGTAGGCAGATTAAAGAAATTCCTAATTAGCTTAAACAGCAAGACATAGCATGAGTTTTCATTTGTGTTTCCTGGTTGGGGAATTGCGACTCATTAAGTGGCGGCGCTCTAACAAGTTGATTTCCACATTTAATTTGACTTAATAAACCCACATACATACATATTTCTCTATATATTGCTTTTTGCTTCTTTCATTGCGTTCCTTGAGCGATGAGACATATCATATATGTACACATTATAATTATGACAACTTGTTTTTATTTCCAATTGCGAAAGTGGTTCATTCAAGCCTAGGCACCAGAGAGAGAGAGAGAGGGAGAGAGAGAGAGAGAGAGAGAGAGGGGGGGGGGGCGTCCAGAGGGAGCATCTTATACGCCTCTCAGCTTGACGTAATTGCAATTAAGCGCAAAGGAAGTTAACGAGAGCAACAACTCATCGTATGCCCATTTTTTAAATCATTTTTCGGACATTTTTCAAGTCATACTCTTTTTCTTTCTCCCTCTCTCTCTCTCTCTTTCACTGCGTCTCTCTTTTTCTCTATGTATGTATAGCACTCAAAAACCCAAGTCAATTATGCGAACTGCTCGGTGCTTGAGCTTGTTAAGCGCTGAATTTTTTTTTATTTTTTTCTTAGTTTTTTTTTTATATTTATTTGACTTAAGCGGCAGCCGAGACATCGAATCGCTACTCACCTACCGACCGCGCCCCGCCCCCGCTGCTGACAGCAGCTGCAGGTCATGGAATAGGTCAATCATTTGAATTGTTTTTAAGTGTTGTAAGTTGCAGCGCAGCAACTGTAAAAGGGGGGGAGGGATTGAGCAGGGCTTGAGGCAGTTGAAAACTATGGCTCTAGGTTTGTTGAACTTGTAAATTTGTTGAGGTTTGTAACTGATTTCAAATTCATCCACAAAGTTGCAAGTTCTAAAGTTTGTTTTGGGCTACTTTCAACGAATTTTAACTCTCGCCTGGAGAGATTTAATGCTTGAAGATAGTGTTTAAGATCAATGAGACAATGTTGGCGCGGTAAAAACTAAGTTCTTCCTCTGCTCCAGTTGAATGTTATGTTATTTGTCCAATAGGATATTTTACAGCTTAATCTACAGGACAAAAGGTTTCTTTTATTTTTGGATTTGTACGTTTTTTTTTTTTATTGAAAGCAAAGAAATTGCCTTGTGGCTAGAAAATAATAGCAAGAAACTGCACGTTTATACGCTAAACGTGTTCGTACAAATGGTATGCCACTTATCTTGTTCACAGGGGATGTCAGTCTGTTAGTTCCCACATAAATCCATAGCAATGCTTATGTCACGGCATGAGAGGACATGCAACATAATCGAGTGTTGCCGTGTTGCATTTGCATTCGCGTTGCCAGCTCTTGACTCAATTGCTGCTGTTGCTGTTGCCAGGGCGATGGCGATGACGATGACGAATTAAGTCGGGCGGACAAGCCCATGGGTTAAGCATAGGCTAACCCTCAGTTAACCCCAGTCAATAAATACAACTGCCCGACGCGCTGACTCAGTGCGCCCAACAACCCCACGGCCCACGGCCCACGTCCCCCGTCCTGTATACCCTGCACACAGCTACACACTTTCCGTTTAGTTCAGTTCAGTCAACCAAGTCGGCGACGCTGACGCTGGCGTGTCACCATCAGGCAACACCATCAGCATGAAGGCAGTCAAGCGGGCAGGTGGTGCCAGCTGCCTTTGCTGCTGACCGACAAAGTTGAGCAGCGCAGCCCAACACTAAGGCCAGCCAAATGTGCAGCGGGACCAGACACAAACAGCTGGTGACTTGGTCTGGAATCCCTTGCGTAATGTATGCAACTTCCTTGAACCGCCTGGGCATGTGTGTGTGTGTGTGTGTGTGTGTGTGTGTGTGTGTGTGTGTGTGTGTGTGTGTGTGTGTGCTTTTTGTTGTGCTGCCTGCTTGGCTGCCACTTAACCCCAGCGACTTTATGATAGTTTCTCGATGGTTGCTCCTTGCCAGCTATCTCTCTATCCAGCCAACTCGGTGGGCTGCCTGGGCTAAGTAAATGCGATTAAAATCTCTATAGAAATTGCGACGAGCCAGCGGACGTAGCTGCTCAAGGGCGGGGCGGGAAACGCGGGCGTCGCAGGCAACTGTATGAGTCATCCACAGCCCGTGATGGGTCGTTGTAATTTGCATAGAGGGGTTGCAAAGCCCAACAGCAAAAAAAAAAAAAAATAAAAAAAAAATGAACCAAAAACAAAAAAAAAATGTATTTAACAAAATGCCATAGCATACTTTCTTGCGCATTACTGTACGGCTGTGTCGGAGGCTATGAAGTGGCACGCCCCTTGCGGCTGCTTTCATCTGCATGTAGCATGTAGCATGTGGCATGTGGCATGCGAATGCGGCGCCCTAACCCAGTTATATGCACATACAAAATGCCAGTTGACTGACTGCCGCTTTGAACTAAACAACAGAAAAGGAAAGAAACCAAAACCACAAAAAAAAATAAAAAAAAAAAACGGAAAACAAGAAGATTATATACACATAAAAAAAAACAAAGAAAAGGCAACATTTACGGAGCGCTACAGCCATGGCCCTATAAAGGAAAACAAAATGGTTCGTACATTTAACTACATCACGTTTCGTATAATCGGTTTTTAAATGTGCGTTATTTAAGAGGCAGGTTTTGCATATGCTTCGTATTCCCTACTAATTTCTATCGGCCAACATTTTGTATTATACTTTTAAGCCTTATAGTTCTAACTATGTAAACTTATGTGACAGTCAGGTATTTGTATTGAGTAAGCCCTCAAATGAGATAAGCATTAAATTGCCGTAATATACAATTTATCTGTTTTATATTATATATAATAAATAATTTAATATATGTATTTTGATGATACTGTATTATAAAACCTGAATTATGTTTTGTCTTTTCCAAACGAGTTCCTAGAGATGACAAAGTTATATTAATCGATTCATCGATAATCACTAAAGTACTTGTGGAGCTAAAAGTTAGGTGTATCAGTAAAATGTCTTGGTATTTGCACCTAAGCCAATAAGAAAGTATACAAGGCTGACTTTGGGTAAAGCATTAATTTGTATAAAAAACGATCCAGTAGCCATTCCAGCCAGTCCGTTAAGGCAAGTTACAACTAATTTGTAATGTTGTCGACAGGAAACGCCAAACTTTAAATGGCCCACCCGCTCCATTCGGCTGACTCGGACATGGGTCTGGGTAACTTGAGCTTGGATCAGGCAGCATATGGATGGCGCCGTGAAGCAAACAAACGTTAGCTAGTTAAGTATATATATTATATATATAGAGAGAGAGAGAGAGAGGGGGAAAGCGAAAGAGAGAGAGGGAAATAGAGAACCAGGGAGTAGACATAGAATACTTCGCTGGGCTGTGTATTTTGTGGGAATTTGTGGCTCAAGGGTTGGCATTGCGCATTGTGTACAGCGAAAAGCTTTTATGCCAAAGTTGTGTGTGTATATCCTTCAAAGTGGAGCACAATAGAATTGTCAAAAAAAAAAATAAAAAATGAAAGAAGAATAAAAATAAAGTTGTGAGGGAGGTGCGGCGTTTATAAGGGAGTTGTGACTTTCACAGAGAGCTGGGCGTGCCCGGGGTCGCGCGTTGACACTTTGTGCATGTCAAACGTGCAATGACACCAAAAACGCCGACAAGGACCTCAACATGAAACCGTCTCCAAGGTATCAACAACAACAACAACAACAACAAGAGGGCGTTGGTCATAAAAATGGGACAAAAGTTTTAGTTGACATTCTTGTTGATATTAATGGGTCGCTAACATGCAAACAGGTTATAAATATATATATATATATATGTATATACTTCCGAGAAGTCCAATACACTCATCGCAGGGAAGGGAGAGAGAAACGTACACAATTAGCTGAGGTCTTAGCAACAGGAAAGCAAATCGCTTTAGTTAATTATAGAGTTAACCTTTTCTTTGGGCACAAAATATTTACAAGCACGTTGATAAAAAGCTCAGAAGATAGTTTTTGTTAGTATTTGTATTAAATAAATCGATTGATCGATCAAAACTATTTTTATAAATCATATATCGAAGCTTTGTTTATTTAATACATTTATTGCAGTCTACTCGAATTCAAAGTCATTCAATACTAAAGCACATTCGGTAACGCCCATTGTGGGCGTACCATACCCTACAA